CACTGACTGAATTGTTACTCACAGATAAATTCACTGCTGAATGATGTTTACCTCCAGTTTCTCTCTTCCTCTCCCTGTCGTTCTCCAAAGTGTCTAAGAAGCAGATAAATGAAGACACGGGATGAGTGAAAACTTTGTACTGAAGCTCCGAAGTTAGTTTGAGATACTAATGTGTAAAGATGGAGTTTAAAGGTGAAACTGCGCCCTCCTGTGGTCACTCTGTGAATTACTGCATTTGGAAGTTTTGTTTTTTTCACCTTTCTTGTTCTAGATACAAATTCAAACTGCTTTCTTTGTTTTATTTCTTTATAAATAAATGTGACTTGACTTAATCACAGATAACATATTTTTTTAATTATAAAAAGCAACTGTTTACTGCTTATGTTAATTAAAATCCATTGTCTGTTAATCACACATGCATGTTAGTCTCTCAAAGAATCTGAAGTGTAACTTCATTGATTGCATATTCTTGTGTACGTTGGAGCGTTTCACTACTGAGGTGTTGTGTTCCCATGACATATTAGGCAATATATTTTTCTTATTTTCTTATCAGTGGTAGATAATTAAAGACTACAATAAACAAGTTTCCTCAAAATCAAAGAAAACAGACAATGAAAGCTGTAAACTACTAGAACTAAATAAAACACAGCTGGCAGATAAGGGTTTTTGTTTTGAATCCACGTCTTTTTAAGCCTTTTCTGCCTCGTAATTATCGGGCAAAAATATAAATTCTTTGACTTCCAAGTAGAGTGAATGTAATCACTCAAATGTGTCTAGAAGGTGACTGGTTACTGCACTGACCTGTATCTAACTTAAAAGTAGTGAGGGTTTTTACCACACCTCTAAGAGCAGATAAAATGATCATCAGAGTTCAACCACTGACGAAACAAAGACACTGAAAGAGAGAACAGAAAGAAGACTTGGATGAAATGTAGAAACTTCTCAGTTGACAGTTTTGGTCTCACTCCAAGTCTGCACTCAGAAAGAAGAAAATAATTGATTTGCTTTCTTCAGAAGAAAAAAAAAGAAAAGAGAGTGTTGCTTACAATCAGAGGACAGGTTATTCTGTCTTAGTCTGTCTTAGACAGACCCCTTTAAAAGACAGACTAAAGGGGTTTCACACTTGCAGAAAACTCCTGAAAAACTCCTGACATCTCAGAAAAGTGTCTTCACACTGAAGAAAGACGGCAGCACTCACCCGTCATTCCAAAGGGAAAGCAGGTGTCTTTTAATCACATCCAGGATTCCTTCGATCCACAACCAGAAGGAATACGCTTTCTCGTTCGCACTCTGCTTACAGACAAATACATTCAGTTCAAAGAGAAGATGTAGTTTTAACTTTATGATGCACCAAAAAGACTCCATTAGTATCTGCTAACCTGTACACGTTTCTCTTTTTTGCAGCTTTTGGTTAAATTACAGATTTGAATACAGATTTTATTCATTTTTAACTTGTGGTATCGAAAAGTATCACAGATGTTGACAATCTTAAATCTCAGGCTGAATGGGGCTCACCTTGCAGAACTTGGTCCAGGGGATTTGTCCCTCTGGGTTCCTCTTGGCTTTGGCTCCTGAAGATAAAAATAAATAAAAGTTAAAGGCCTGTTTGAAAGTCCTGCAGGTGTTTATCTGTTAAAGAAAACTATTTCTACCGAGCAGTTTGTCAGCCAGCATGTTGAGCTGCTCCTGGTTCAGGCCTCGCTTGGTGACGGAGGAGAACTGCCAGCTGAGGAGCTCGGACAGCTGAGACCACTTGGCCTGCGGAGCGCTGAGGAAGAACTTCAGATTCTGAGGGAGAGGAGAGGAAAGAAGAAGAGATGGAAACACAAAAAGTCAAACCATTTGGTTTATAGAACTCTGATCTTTTAGCAAAACTTCAGTTAAAGACACTCTGTTACGAATAGAAGACCTTTATTCAAAACCTTACTTAATATAAAAAGCACAGGCATCAAAATATACTCAAAAGACCAACCGTAAAACAGCTATACACGCGTCAACATTTAGACTGTATTAATGGTCTGTTTATGAATTTAAGGTGGCAGCTGTGAAACGTGTTTAAATCATTAAGATATCACCTAATTGTATGTTTGATATTTGTGATGAGTAAACATCTGTAATCATCAATGAGAGTCCTGGTTGTGTACCCTGGGCTCGGAGGTCAGCATGTTGTACCAGAGGATGGAGGCCCAGCCGCTGGGCAGCTGACAGACGTTAGAGATGACAACAACAGGGACATGGCCTACAACAACAAAAACAGCAACAAACATCAGGAACTAATCATAAACAAACTCATAAACTCTATAGTTTGACTGTAGTTACTAATCATGTCCACTAGATGGCAGCCAAACTATGCTGTTTCATTTAACATCCAATATTTCCCCACTTCCGTTCGGGGTCGATGGGGACAGTGTACCAACGATTTGTAGTCTAAAAAAAGACCATTTTAGTTTAAATTTAAATAAATACCTTCGATTGTCGACAGAATAGCTAATGCTTCATTTTTCAAGACATATATGAGCTAACTACGCTCTCAAGAGTGGGAAAAAATCAAATGTTTTTTAAAACACAAATGTAGTTCCACATTTTGTCCATTGGGGGCAGTATAGACACAACAAGCAGTGTAAAGATGGAGAATCTGGAAGATTTACACTTAGTGAAAACACATTTAAAATAAAAGCTTTAAACACTTTAAATTATAATCAAAATATTTTTTATTTTCTTTCTTTTACTACCGACACACACACACACACACACACACACACACGCGCACACACACGCACGCACACACACACACGCACGCGCACACACGCACGCGCACACACACACACACACACACACACACACACACACACACACACACACACACACACGTATCTATAACAGGATTTTGTCCAGTACCAGAAGCTCACTGCAGGGGATTTATGTATGAAAGTCTGTCGTCTAATCTAAAGTGTGTCACATTGATAGATGAAGCAGACACACTCTGCTATACTAGAAATAATATAGATTTTAATGTAGTGCAATATTGATTCAATTAGTTTAAGGGTTAAAAAAATTCTAAATGATTTTTCCTGATATGTTTTATATCAGGAGACTTGGCAGGTAGAATAACTGTGTTTTTGTGTAAAAGTATTTCTCTTCCCTGCACATGTTTCTGGTAAATTCATTCATTTACACATTGTAGAGATGTTATTACTTCTTCTTAAATTTACACTTTTCATTCTACACACTGACTTGGTGTTTCTAGGATGTACAGAAGAGATTGTTCGGGCCCATCTGGCGCTCCAGGTTCGGTCCGTTTGACATCGTTAATGTGGCGACTCCAGAGCTCATAGCTCAGGTAATCCGACAGGAGGGTCGGCATCCAGTTAACATTTACTTATGTGATCACTGATATTCATAAAGGTTGAATGTTATTGTTGAGCCTTTATTTTACTGTGTAATTTTACATTATTGTATTTTTTTACATTATTGTATTTTTATTTATTTAAATGATGTAAATATGTTTGATCTGTTTTTAACTTCTATTTTTATTTTTTATAATTATATTCCCGTCCCCTGTTTTCTGGAGCTGCTGTAATGCACAAATTTCCCCCACGGGGGATCAATAAAGTTTATCTTTATCTTTATCTTTCTACTCGAAAGACCATTGAGGGGCAACCCTCATTTACAATGACATCGAGTCATTGCAGAAATAATTTAAAACAGACATTAAATCAAAAATAAAAACAGGGGACAGATAATACAAGACTGCTAAAATCAGTCTACAAAAGGCTAAAATGTACTAAGATAATTAAGCGAGTACAAAACTGCAATAAAAAAACACACTTATGTAAAACAGTTACAAACAGAGGTTGGGAGGCTTAAAATCAGGTTTCTAAAATGCCCAAAAGGTAAGAGTTCATTCCCCTCAAGAAGATGCTGTATGTTGTTCCATGAGTCCGGTGCAGAATAAGAAAAAGCAGATTTTCCCAGTTCCGATCTGACTCGAGGAACATTGAACAGTAAACGTCTTGAGGAACGTGTCTGGTAACGTCCAGTCGAGAGATGGATAAGTTCTGTCAAAATGTGATCATTACATGACAGGGGGCATTATAAATGTTCTGACCTGTAGGTTCCTCTTAATCTCGCGGATGTTGTGTTGTAGCAGGAAGTTGTTTTCCAGGGCGAAGCGGCTATGTTGGTCGTCGAGCTGAGCCAGGAGGTCGTGGAACTGAACTGTGGCTAAGGAATCCTGCATCGCCACTGTGTCCCTGAAGAGGCACGGAGCACAAGACAAATGAGGCTCTGATCTCTATTCTTGAAAAGTAAAAACTTTTGTTCCCTCTCACCAGTCGATGCTGTCGATCTACTTGCTCAGGTATTGCCTGATGTCCATGGGGAACGAGTCATCGCAAAGCTGCTCCACCTGCTCCAGGTACTTGCAGTCCAGCATCTGAAGCTGGTTCCACTGCGCCATCTTCTGGTGAACAAAAGCAGATTCATCCAGTGTTAAGAGCTCGGACTTAAAGTTTCGTTTAGGTACATTACTTTTTTTTAAAAGGTTGAATAAAAAGTAGAACTCAGAGGAAAAATAATAATCTGTGTGAACTCTAAAATAAAGAAACTATTTAAGGTTTACGCAATGTCTGAAATTATGATTATTGTTGGAGCTATTTAATTGGGCATAAAATTAGTTTTTGTATTTAGTTTACTAATATTTAGGTGTTGTTGTTTATTTAATTATTCTACACGTTTTCTTTATTTAAAACAAGACTTTGGGTAACGTTTTCTTTTTTGCTAGTTATTTGTTTAGTAAATTTAGTTTTGTATTAGTATTTTGTTCGGTATTTGGTGTAATACTGTGGGCACCGGAGATTTTTTAAATCAGAGGCAGGTGGAGGACCGGCATGCACCTGGGTGGGCCTATTGTTTTTTATCAGGTCAAGAGAGGCAGCGGATTTTGGATGGATGAACGGCACAGATTGTTTTATTCAAACTTTTGGAATCAGCGTCAGAAGGAAACCGGCTTCTGGCCCAGATCGACACAACGTTCAGCCTCCTCACAAGGAACTGGTATGTGACACGACTGCTGTATTGGAAAATGGCCAAACGATTGGAGTTTGAATGTCAGTGTTTTCACGTTAAAGTGCCAAGTTTATGAAGTCTGAGGAGTTGGACGGCGCAGAACCGCCGCGTGTTATTATTACGCAACACTTTTACGCAAGACTGTCGGCTGCTTCCATTGACAATTAACCCGACTGCAGAGTGTGTCTTTGTGTTGAAAACTGGATCTGATCGGCCAATAAACCAGTTATGTTGGTCGAAAGCTTTTGGCCTGCTTTTCTGTCTCATTGTGGATGTTGATTGCTGCGCAACAAGCAGTTTAAAAAAAAAACCGCTAACATGGATGATGTTGCTGTAAATGATGTTGAAATGTCGTCAACTAAAAGAAACATTAAAATCACTTCTAAAGGCTTGTGCTTCTACACACAAATGTGCCAGGAAAAAAGGAGTGCAAAGTGTAAACAAGCCAAGAAGTGTGGAGAAAAAATTCGTGTGTTAATGGAGTCAAGTGAAAATGTCAATTCTGTCAACTCCGAGCTTGTCACGTTCATTCAGTGTCATCAAGATGCAGCTCACATGCACGAAGCTTTAATCAAGCTGCCCTTGCCACAAGATGAACTGACAAAACAAAGTAAATACTTCGAAGAAAAAATGACAAAGTTCGGTGAATTCACAAAAGGGGTTAAAAGCTGGCTGTCTGAAAAGGGTCATCCTGATGTGACAGAAAGAGACACTCCCGACGAAAAGGATTTTGCAGATGATATAAACCCTGAAGACAGTGCTTCTAATGTGTCACGTGTAAAATCAAATTCTGTGAGGACTCGTTCTCATTCATCACGGACCTCATCAGCCTCTTCTGCACGCATTAAAGCCAAGGTCAACAAGGCAGCTCTAATTGAGCGTGTTGCTGCTTTAAAAGCGAAACATGAAATAGAAGCTCAAGAGGAAAAGCTGAGGAGAGAAAAGGAACAACTGGAACTTGAAACGGAACTGGCTGTAACAAATGCAAAGCTTCAGGTCTTGGAAATAAATTCATCAGAGTGTGGCTCAAAATATTCAGATGGCATGAAGTCTTACTTTAAAAGGAACTATTCTCACAAGGTCAGTGCATTAAATCCCAATGCTGACACCTTTGCACCAGTAATTGAAGAAAATGTTAATGTTATTGCTGGACTTGATACCATCTCTCATCCACAAGATGTTAAGCACAAACAAAGACAAGAAACACTAAAGGATGAGATGTTACAGCTTCATGCTCCAGTAAAAGTGACTGAAACTGCTAATGAACATCAAACAGGACTTGTATGTAAGCAGACTGACAACTATCAGAATGACATTGTAAACATAATGCAGAGACAAAATGATATTACTTCTCTGCTGGTCCAGCAAAATCTGAGTTCTATTCTCCCATCAAGAAACATCCCGGTATTTGATGGAGACCCTCTTCAATACAAGTCTTTCATAAGAGCTTTTGAGAATGGAGTGGAGGAGAAAACAGCCAATTGGAGCGACTGCTTGCATTTTCTCGAACAGTACACCAGGGGGCAACCAAGGGACTTGGTGCACAGCTGTCAACATCTGCCTTCAGAAATTGGATACCATAGAGCCAAAGGTCTTTTAGCAGAGCATTTTGGAAATGAATACAAAATTGCAGCTGCCTATATGGATAAGATTCACAACTGGCCACCTGTTTCTACTGTCATGTCTCAGACCTGTGGCCATATTGGGGCTGGTGGTGAAGACGATTCAATCGTTTCTATTGTTGCTGTCAAAGTTAAGAGCCAGAGGAGTAATAGAACTATGCAAACATACGCCTTTTTGGATCCAGGAAGTTCAGGAACATCCTGCACGGAGAACCTGGCAAGAAAATTGAACCTGAAAGGTAAAAGGACAAGTGTTTTGTTGAGAACAATGGGACAAAGGAAGATCGTAAATGCTCATGTTCTGTCAGATCTTGCAGTGTCTGCTGTAAATGCAAATGATTTCATTCAGTTACCTGATGTTTTAACACAAAAGATCATGCCTGTTTCTTCACTGAATGTCCCATGACAAGAGGATCTTGTTCAATGGTCTTATCTAAAGGATGTAGAGCTCCATGACATTGATGCTGGAGTGGATCTTCTCATTGGTACTGATGCCCCTAAAGTATTGGAGCCTTGGGAGCTGATAAACAGTCAGGATGAAGGACCCTACGCAGTAAGAACCAGGATCGGTTGGGTCATTAATGGTCCTCTTGGAGGTGGAAGCAATCGGAGCAAGAGTGGCTGCCCTGCTGTAACTGTTAAACAGTACAACCATGATTTTAATGAGAGATTGTCAGAAGAGCAAATTGAAATGTCCAGAGAAGACATTAAGTTCATGAATGTTGTGAGCAGCACAGCTCAATGTATTGGAGGTCATTACTGTGTTGACTTACCTTTCAAACAGGAAAACCCTTTCTTACCAGACAATCGATGTGTTGCAGAACAGCGCCTCCAGTGCCTGAAAAGAAAATTTCACAAAAACAGCTCATTCAAGGAGGATGAGCAACGAAGGAGTCAGGAAAACAGGCGATTCCACACTTTTGTGGCAAACAGAACTGCCATCATCAGAGAAGCAGTAGATGTTGATCAGTGGAGATATGTGGCTTCAAAAGAGAATCCCGCAGATGAAGCATCGAGAGGATTGAAAACTGAGGATTTCCTGAAAGGCAGGAGATGGATAAATGGACCTGAGTTCCTCTCTAGGTCAAAGGAGGAGTGGCCTAAGCTTGAGGAGCTTGATGTGATTTCTGCAGGTGACCCAGAGGTCAAAAGGGACTTGGCAGTGAATGTTATTGTCAAGGATGTGGAAAATGCCACCAACCACCTGATCTGTTACTTTTCATCCTGGATTAAGTTAAAATCATCTGTAGCTTGGTTTCTAAAGGTCAAGGAAGTTCTAATGATGTTGGTACAGAAGAGAAAAGAGTGGTGTGCTTCTGCAAGCCTCAATCAAGACAATCTACAGATTCAAGAGCATCAGTGGAAAAAAGAATTAAGAGTTTTAAAGTCACACTCAAGGGACAAAGTCTGACTCCCGAAGATCTTGCAAAAGCAGAGCAGTCAATCGTTCAGCATGTGCAAAGACAACATTACAAAGCTGAAATCACCTCACTCAAGTGTGACTTAAAAAACATCTCCAAGGAAAGTCCTCTATACAAACTGGACCCAGTGATGAATGATGGAGTTCTCAGAGTGGGAGGTCGGCTGAATAAAGCAGCACTGCCAGCTGAATCTAAACATCCAGTTATTCTGTCTAAAGACACACATGTAGCCACACTAATATTGCGCCCACATT